CATGGGGGGGCCACATGGGGGGGGGCCACAAGGGTCTGTGGTACACCCCCTTGATCCCAGCTCTCCCCCCCGACCCAGCTCACCACCATGAGAGGCCACTCGGAGGCAGAGATGTACTGGTACACGGGATGCTTCATCTGGACTTGGACTGGGGAAGGACCGGGGGGCGGTGTTATTATTGGGGGGGCAAAGACCCCAGCCCCACTTCTCTGCCAGGGATGCGGCCCCCCCAGCAGCAGACCCCTCCCCCCCAGCTTCCATAGCACAGCAGGCTCACGCCCCCTCCCAGCACTTACTGGAGATCTCCCAGCCGCCAGGGGGGGGTGGCTCCTCGCTCTTCCCCTTCAGTTTCAGGATCAACACGTAGGGCCCGTCGTCCCACGTCCTTGCTGTGGTGTCCACCTGGGAGGGATGCAGAAGCCCCAGTTACCCTCCGGGGTGGGGTCAGGGGGGAATACAGCCCCCCCTGGCCCTCCCCAGAAGCTCGGCACCCCAGCCCCCAACCTTGGATTTCTCCTGGGCTCCAGACAGCGCCACCTTGGCCTCCCCACGGCTCTGGTTTCGCTTCCCTATCATGGTGGGGGGCTCAGTTGCTCGAGTGGGCACCAGCTTCTGCCCTTCGACCTTGTCCTTGGGGGGCTTCTCGCCCTGGGGGGCCAGGGCTTCCCTCCGCTGAATGCCCACGGGCTGCTGGAGAGAGAGAGCGGTATCCTGTGCCTCAGTTTACCCCACCTGGAATCCAAGCTTCGCCTCGCCCATTCACTGGACGGTTACAGCAACATCCACGCATGAAAACAGCTTGTATTCAAGCTGCCTCATTACCATATTTCCCCATGTACCAAGTGCCCCCCCCATAAGCCCCCCCCCCTTGTTTTTGGAAAGCAGCACAGAGGGAAACGAGATGTTTCCAGAGGCACAGCCGGGTGCCACAGAGGAAGTTCTCCTGGAAAGACAGAGCGTCCAGGAAGCGTGTGGCATCCCACAAGACTGGCAGTAGACACTTCCTGGACAAGGGAGGGCTGGGGGGAGGGCAGTGGTGCAGTCGTACCCCGCTCTGATTCCTGCCCCACCCACGCTTGAAGAATAGCTGGTTGGCAGAGGCAGTGGCATTTCTATCCAGGCAGTGGCTCATAATCCTGATTCCTACTAATCCTTTTACCCCCCAGGGGGTTAATGAGGTGCTCACACAAGACAGGTGAGCGGTACACGAAGAATTACGGTAACGCGCTTCTTCTACTCAGCCCCTGGCTGCCCAGAGAAGCAACTTCTGCACTAAACCCCCCTCCCAGCGAGGCCCCTGGTCTGCCACGGAGACATGCAAAAGGGGGGGGGGGCAGCGTGGGCAGATCCTGCCCCTGGGACTCCCTAAGGGGGAGAGTTATTATCAAGGGGGTAAAGCCAAGACCCACCTTCTTGCCGCTGCTGGTGCTTTCCTTCAGCAGAACCCTCTGGGCATGCAAAGCAAACACGGGTGTGAGAGAGGCCCCAGGGCAGGGATCCCACCGCTTCCACCACATACATCAATGCTGCAGGGTGAGGAGGGGAGTGGGGAGTGCACTGGCCCAGGTGGGGGAAGCTGTGGCAGGGCAGAGAGGAGCTGGGGCTGCTTCCCAGTGGGGGCCAGAGCCCAACGGGTTTAAGATGAAGCTGGCTGAGGTGAAAGAAGAAGCCTGGAGGAGCCCTCAAATGCATCACATGCATTGGGCTCCCCTTCAAGCTCTGAACAAGCCTGACCCTGCTTGGCTTGGGAAGCCTGACAGGCTAGGAAGCTAATTACAGCTGGCTCGTTAACACCCAGGCAGCACCACTCCCACCCCAAGGGCCAGAGGCAGCAAGGACGAGGGGGGGGGCAGCAGGGAACAAGGCGGGAGGGGGGATGCG